AAGCATCATCGATAAGAATGGAGACTATTTCATTTAATAAATGTTTTGTTTTGATATATAAATTGTTGGGATATTTTCATCTAAAAAATAAAGCGACATTAATTTCTTGACGACCTCATATTAAGGTATGTGTCGACTACCTTGAATTATTTATACGCTAAGTTTTACTATGTGTTCCACGTTTTCATTTCTGTATCGTTAGAAAGTGAGGAGAAATGAGTGTTTAGAAGGTTTTTATTTTAAAAGGGTGTCTACGTAACCGTCCTCTGATGGGTCAGCGGCAAGTCTACGGAGTTTCAACACTAAAACCCAGAGTCTGATTCCCCGTGTTTGACAAAGCAAACGTCACAGTACAATGTGTATGTTTACACTAAAAATAAAGAAAGAAACATTCTATGTATCGTAGTCCACACATTGTTTTATTTACTTTATAAATAAACGTTATGTTTATAAACTTTAAGAACCGTTATTCGTATGTCGAATAGGTTTTTATGAACAAAAATCAACTGAAAAATACATTTTTTTGTTGTTAATATTAGAATTTTGGCAGTTAGATGTTTAATTGTTGTTTTACCTAAACAGCTATATGGGTTTTCATCTATGTATGTATACATGTGTATGTATATATATATATATATAAGTTTTATAGTCTCTGATGTTCTGTTATGTTATCAGTCTAATAGTTTAGTTATATAAAAAAACACTAACTGAATTAAGCTTGTGCTACTAATTTTAATTACAAGTTCGAGCCCCGTGCTTAAGTCCCTATACTGAAATAGAAAACGTATGTGTTTGGTAGAGACACATTAAAAATTATTACAGAATGCTAGGACAAGATAGATGCAGTCACTTTTTTTAAATTAAAATATTACACAATTCAGGATAAGTTTTATTAGTTATGTTTATCAATCTACGTATATATTTATAGATTTTCATACATATAGATATCGAATTTAAAACTTTAATACAATCTTTGATTTCACATGTTGTAACAGAAAGATTCGTATCTTATTGCCACATTAATTTCTTATCTTGATCAACAGCTGTCGAAATCCAAGGAGCAATCAGTGTATATTCGAAATGTTGCTTTGGAAACCGCTGGAATTTATAAATGTGAAGTTTCAACTGAAGCGCCAGTATTTGATACGGTGTCAGCCAAGAAGGAGATGAAAGTATACGGTACGTTGCTCTTTATTTACGTATTTATTAAACACTTTGTATCCCCCCCTTCAGTGGGTCAGCAGCGAGTCTGAAGGCTTATAATGCTAAAAATAGAGCTTCGATACAGGTGGTGGGCACAGCACAGATACTCCCTTATATAGCTTAACACCAAACAAACTTTTTATGTTCAATTCATAGATAATAATCTTAGGTAAATAAGTTGTTGAACGTGAAGAATGAACTTTCTCCTAAAACTGAAAAATTCGGAGAGCATTTGAAAATCATATGTTAAATTGTTCTGAAACATATGTTACTGTCTCAATATAGGTACTTAACAAGAAAAATGTATCTGTGAAACATTACTAGCTATGATTTAGACAGTAGTAACCCACAAAAACACATTAGATAACGAATACGAGCCTCCTATTCCTATAAACTCTCTCTCCTTCTTAAAATATGATGTAGACAGTAGTAACCCGCAAAAACACATTAGATAACGAGTAGGAGCCTGCTATTCCTATAACAAGTATAAACTCTCTCTCCTTCTTAAAAGATGATGTAGACAGTAGTAGTAACCCGCAAAAACACATTATATAACGAGCACGAGCCTCTTATTCCTATAAACTCTCTCTCCTTCTTAAAATATTATGTAGACAGTAGTAGTAACCCGCAAAAACACATTAGATAACGAGCACGAGCCTCCTATTCCTATAAACTCTCTCTCTTTCTTAAAAGATGATGTAGACAGTAGTAACCCGCAAAAACACATTAGATAACGAGCACGAGCCTCCTATTCCTATAAAAATGTGTTAAATAACAAGTAAAACCAAGAGTAAACTTCTTTCTTCCGTGAAGCAAAAACGAACTCAACGTTCTTGCGAAAAAAATAACAGCCCACTGCACGTATGTAAATAGATTATATGATTTTTATTCTTATAAAAAAGATGGAGATACATAAAATGTCTTTACTTGTCCAATGTACAATAATAATAAGACAGTTTAATTTCTTTGTCAAGTGTGGATCCTATAATTCTATCTGTAAACAATGAATCCTACCAGTAATAAGAAAATAGTTCAAATAACTAATAAAAACTATTCCTACTAAAAACAAGAGAAAAACAGTTTAATCTGTCTGTGAAATATGAATTCTAACTGTAATAAGAAAGTTAATTATTCTGTTCGCAAACCAGGTTAAGAAAGAACTCTTTTTAATCTATTCGTAAGCTATGGAGCTCATAGAAATAAGAGCATACACTTTAGTCCAATAATAATAGTTTAACATGTTCGTGACGTATTGGTACCACCAATAATAAGAATAAAGTCTAACATGTTTGTAATGTTTTGATACCACCAATATCGGAATGAAGTTTAACATGTTCGTGATGTATTTGTACCACCAATAATAAGAATAAAGTCTAAGATGTTTGTAATGTTTTGATACCACCAATATCGGAATGAAGTTTAACATGTTTGTGATGTATTTGTACCACCAATAATGAAAATAAAGTTTAACATGTTCGTGATGTATTGGTACCACCAATAATAAGAATAACGTGTAACATGTTTGTAATGTATTGATAACACCAATAATATGAATAACGTTTAACATGTTTATAGTGTATTGGTACCTGATACTACAACTAATAAGAATAAAGTTTAACATGTTTCTAACGTATTAGTACCTGATACTACCAAAAATAACAATAAAGTTTAACATGTTTGCAGTGTATTGGTACCTGATACTACCAATGAGAAGAAAATTCATTTAATCACTTCTTAAATTGCGAATCCTAATGTTAATATAAACATGATTTGTCTGTTCATAAACCATATGTTCTACCAGTAATAAGAATAAACAGTTTATTTAATTCTTCACCATGGATCAACGCAGAAATATGAAAACCCAACAACTATGTATGTTAATAATAATAATAAATGGGTCCTTGTACCAGCAATAACAGTTTGATATAGTCATTGAAGTTGTTTTCTTAGGGTAAAGCTACTCATTGGGCTACCTCAACTCTGTCCGTATCGAACCCCGAATTTTAGTGTCGTAAATCCGTAAAGTTACCATTGACCCACTAATAGACTAAACTGTTATAGACTCTGAAGATAGTTTGATGTGTAATCTATTTGTAACCATTTATTAACAGAAGTAACACTTATCTCATGAGATATAAAACGTTTACTTTGAAAGATTTATTGTGTATAATTAAAAAGCTTCAAATGCAAAGAAATATTAGATTAGGAGAACCAAGGGGTGCTTTGCAATCCTCTTAATTTTAATCTCAAAAAATATGGCCTTTATTATTATATCTAGCTCAATATATTCAGCTTGGATGGGTATAGTGAGAAAATAAAATCAATATGATTCGCACGTTAAATTATTGTATTTATGATATAATTGAATTTGAAGCTATCAAGATTTCATCTATTTTATTTATCAAAAGCAATCATAAAACTTTTATAGGCTAAACATGTTTCTGAAATAATAAACAACTTTTAGCTGACTTTAAATCTTTATTCAATTATTTGACGTTTACTTGATCTTCATGAAAGTAAGATTTGTAATTTTTATACAAATAAATCTACTTAAATAACACCCCAATGGCACAGCGGTATGTCTGCGGACTTACAACGCTAGAATCCGGGTTTTGATACCCGTGGTGGGCAGAGCACAGATAACTTTGTGCTTAATTACAAACAAACTTGAATAACGAAAAGAAAGGAGTCCGATTGAAATTGAGAATATTTGAAGTTATATAAACGTAAAAGTTGTCAAATCTGATTACACAAGATATCATATTATTATAAAGAAATTAAAAAAATTGAAGAAAAATATATTTAGCAGATTATGCAGTTAAATATCCTAGTTTAACATTTAGATTACGCAGTTAAATATCCTAGTTTAACATTGAGATTACACAGTTAAATATCCTAGTTTAACATTTAGATTACGCAGTTAAATATCCTAGTTTAACATTGAGATTATATTCATTTTCTAAAATTTCTGGTGAAACCAGTGAAGTATGTTAGGAATTAAAACAACCTGTAATATCTATTTAATGGTGATACTCAGTTTGTATACAACAACATATTGTTACGTCTCTGGTCGTTTGTTAATTTACGGTATAAATTCTACCCGAGGAACTTCAGCGATACAAGACCTTTCTTAAATAAAACTAGTTTATTATTTCTCAATACAACTTTGCAATACACAGAATTTCCACAGTCATTTTAACTTAAACACACACACTATAATTCAAAACGATTCACGACTTTACTTACGGTCACTACCGCTCGCTTGACTCAATTATCTGTCTATCTGCAGTTATATCTCCACTTTATTTGTCGGGCTTATATACTAAAATAGAGGGCGCCGAGAAAAGACTACAGTTGCCAGGAAAAGTTATGATCCTTCTAGAAACTCTTGACGTGTTACCAGCGTCACGTGACTTACGCTGTCGTAACACTGCCC